CCAGGAGTCCATATACACACACATATACACAGAGACATATATATACCCATGTATACACATACACATATCCCTATATACATACACACACACAACACATATACCCCCCACAGACATATATGAATACCCATGCACCCATACACAGACATATATGAATACCCATGCACCCATACACACACCTACACATGGCCACAAAACCTGTACAGCCACATACACAAAAATACTGGCACATATACATACCCAAACACATATACACATTCCTATATTCATACAGACACCACACACACACACACACATACACCCAATATACAGACACAGAACACATACCTACAAAACCCATCGTCATCATCATTAGGTGCCATCGAGTTGGTACTGACTTATAGAGACCCTATGCACAACAGAAGGAAACAGTGCCTAAACCTGGGCCAACCTCACAATCATTGCTACATTTGAGCCCATTGATGCTGCCACTCTGCCAATCCATCTTGCTGGGGGTCTTCCTCTTTTTCTCTGACCCTCCACCTTAACAAACATGATATCCTTCTCCAGTGACTGGTCCTTCCTGACAATATATCCAAAGTATCAGAGACGAAGTTTGGTCATCCTGGCCTCCAAGGAGCACTCTGGCTGCACTTCATCCAACACAGATCTGTTGGTTCTTTTGGCAGCACATGGTGCTTTTGATATTCTCCTCCAACACCATAACTCAAATGCATCAATTCTATGGTCTTCCTTATTCACTATCCAACTTTCACATGCATATGGGGTTATTGAAAATACTATGGCTTGGGTCAGGTGCACCTTAGTCCTCAAACACCTTTGCTCTTCAACACTTCAACACAACTCCCCCCCCACACACAAACACACATAAACATACCAATATACCCATATACAAACACCCCTATATACAGACACATACATACCCATACGCACATCCTTATATACATACAGATATACACACATCCATACACAACTTACACAAACCATATACCCACATATACACATATATGTAGACACATACTCACAAAATCTATACACTCCTACTCATACACACTCATACCCATTTATACACCCATACATATATATCTACATCTACACAGTAAATAAGGAAGACCATAGAAGAATTGATGCATTTGATTTATGGTGCTGGAGGAGAATATTGAAAGTGCCATGGGCTGCCAAAAGAACCAATAGATCTGTTTTGTAGAAGTGCAGCCAGAGTGCTCCTTTAGAGGCCAAGATGGCCAAACTTCGTGTCTCATACTTCAGACAAATTGTCAGGAGAGAGCAGTTGCTGGAGAAGGATATCATGTTTAGTAATGTGGAGGGTCAGAGAAAAAGAGGAAGACACCCAGCGAGATGAATTGGCCAAGTGGCAGCATCGATGGATTCAAGTGTTGGCAACGATAGTGAGGTTGGCCCAGGATCAGGCAGTGTTTCGTTCTGCTGTGTATATGGTCGTTATGAATCGGTACCAGCTTGATGGCACCTAACAACATAAACAACACATTCCTACAGACACCCCCATAAACACACATATATCCCCTCATGCTTCCATATCCATACATATATATACCTAGGCACACATTCATACACACTGCACCTTCCAGAGAGACAGGAAACAATGAGTAGATGAATAAACAAAGGTGAAGAGGTCTCGGACTAGGGCTACCCAAAGCAGGACCCACAGCTCTGTCTCCACCCCAGTTATACACACACAGACACACACAGCACAGAGGAGGGTCTGGGAACACAGCTCCTAGTGGCATTCTTGTCTTCACCACACCAGGCCCACCAGCCCCACATTTGCTGAGGAGGCCCTGGGCCCCCAGAGTCCTAAATAACCCTTGGAGTGTAACGAAGATATGTAAGGGTCTGCCCTCCAAAGGCATCCATCCCAGCTCATGTGGTGAAGAGCAGGTAGATGGACAGGGGCTTCAGGACAAGAGAGCAGCATAAAGGCCTCAGATGCCAGGTCCAGCAGGTATGGATATTGGCAGAGTCTAAAAGGAGGAAGCTAGCTGCTCTTCTTGTTGTTGTTACGTGCAGCCAAGTCAATTCTGACCCATAGTGACCCTGTATAAGGGTTCCAAGGAGCAGCTGGTGAGCTTGAACTGCTGACATTGTGGTGCAAACAAACTTTGCATTCCAGCTCATTAACCCACAGCACCACACTGCTCTCCTTAGCACTTCAATATCAAATGGAGACAGGACCCCAGGACCCTTGACCCTACATTCGTTTCACCCATTTGTAGCCCATTGGGCCCCAGCTGAAGGGCTTGGCTCAGGACAAGACTACCCAGTCCTGCTCTACCCCCAGGGGATCCGGCTGTGGATGGAGGTGCATAGTGAACAAGTAAGTGTGTGAGAGAGGGGTGTGAGTTACCTGGTGGTGATGGGCCAAGTGACTTTCAGCAGAATGAGGACACTGTCAGGCAAATGAAAGGCACTTCAGGCAAAACAAATAGTCCATGCAAAAGCCCCCAGAGGTGAAAGCAGTGTCGGGTTGGAGGAAGTTAAAGGAGACCCAGGGCAACTGAGACCCCTTAAGAGATTTAATGGAGGGGCAGGAGGGCAGAGATGGAGGCGCCCAGAAGAACAGATTTCAGCAACTGTGTGTGAACAGTGACCTGGATTGTGGCAGGGAAGGTGGTGGCCTCTGAGTCAGCGAGAAAGGCCAGTCAAGGGGAGATCAAGGAATGCATGGCCAGGGTCGCCTCCTTTCCGTGACTACAGTAGGGACGGTAGAGAGACTTTAGCTCAGATCTTGACCGCGGTGGGTCTGGGCGCCTGGGTTTCCATGTCCTGGCAGGCTGTCGCCCTCCCTAGTGCCCCAGGGACCCGCCGCCCCGCGCCCGGCCCTGCTGGGGTTCCCTTAGCCCCAGGCTGGATCCCCTGCGGTCTTGGTGGTTCCCGCAGCTGTCCCGGGGGCCTTCTCCACGGTGCGTCGCCCAGGCCCCAGCGGTCGCTAGGCTGCGGACTGAGGCTCCCAACCAGGCTGGAGGCGGTGGCGGCGGCGACGATAACGCGATGGCGGCAGAGTCGGGGCGCCAGTGGGCCCAGGCGCGCAGCGCTTATGGCGCGAGCGAAGCTCTACGGCGTGGCGCTGGTCGTCGACGGGACCCCGGGCCGCAACCGAACGGGCAGGGCCCAGAAGAGGCCCGCGGCCGGGGCCGACTGGCTCGCCTACGGGGTCACCTCCAGGCCGAAGCGGCGGCACGGACAGAGGCGCCCCGGCTCTTGCGGCTGGTAGAGCGCGCAGGGGCCGCGGCGAGGCCAGAGGAGCGGCCAGACGCGCGCAGCCGCAACTCCGTGTGCTCAGTGTGCGGGGAGCCACGCGGCGGAGCCACCTACCCGGCGGGAGTCCTGGAGGTCAGCGAGCGACGGCTGCAGGAGGGTCTAGCCGCCGTGCGAGCCGAGCTGGGCTCCGGGTTGGAGGCGTTGCGCGCCGAGCTGCGGGCTGAGCTCGAAGCTCTACGAGCCCTGCTGCCCTCCGCGCCGCCCGCCGCCCGCCGCGAGCCCCGGGTCGCCCCCCGCGCTCTGGCCCGCGGTCAATCGTTGTTGCGGGCTCTAGGCACCGTGAACGCCCTGGTCGTGCCCGCAGCCCCGCGGCCCATCGATGACGCCCCCGACGGCCCCACCAACAACGGTGGTGCGTCCCGGGGCCCAGCTCGTAAATCCTTCAAAAAGACACCGGTGCCACCTGGTGGCCCGCAGGGCATCGAGGACTGAAGACCACCTGGGGCGGGAGGCCACGACGCTGGTAAGAGGGGGCTCCGGGTGCCCCAGGCAGGGAGTAGTGGACATTGGGAGCGTGTTGAGGCGCTGCCAACCAGGGCTAGGGTATTGGAGGGTGAGCGAAGGGGACAGGCCTGTTTGGTCACCTCTGGGGTTGCAGGGAGCTTGTGTTCAGGTTAGGGGTGGGGTGGACCTTCCTAGATGAGGGAAGACCTGGGGAGACCCTAAGGGTCTGAGGGGAGGGGTTGCTTCGTGTCAGGAACATGCAAATTCCTTTTCTTGAACAGGAATAGTTTGCCCCACAGGGTTTCTATGAACAGTCACCAGGGGCACATTGTCACCCTGGTAGACGACTACATTCCACACAGTATCAACAGAGACACAAAAGCTGAATCTGGACAGTCCCATCTATTGCCAGCAGGACCTATGCACTGGGATAGTGTCACCCAGACATAGAGCTGATCAGTGGCCCTTGGACTCTCAGCTTCACTTTGGGCAGTGACACCAAGGACACTTAACCCTTCACTTAACCTCACCTCAGGCTGGACCCAGTCTCTCTCTAGAAAGTATCACTCTACACTAACAACTGTCACCCAACTTCTGACACTATCACCTGGAACTGACTTCACCACTGACATGCCTCAGCTGCTTTCACCTTGGGCCTACAGACACAGTGGGACACCGCCTAGTGTCTGGGGAAAGTTAGCCCTAGCCATCATTTACCTTCAACCCACCCTGGCCATCTACCAACCAGATTTCTCTGGTAGCATAGTGGTTACCAATCCGGCTGCTAACCTCAAGGTCTTCAGTTTGAAACTACGAGACGGTTCAGCGGGAGAAAGATGAGGCTTTCTGTCCCTGCAAAGATTTACAGCCTCGGAAACTCCGTGGTACTTAAACAACAACAAACACAAAGAAATACTTTTTTTGTGTGTGTGAAATCACAAAACAATATTATTTAAAAATAAAAGTGTAATCTTAGGCTACTGCTAACGGTTGTAAGACCTGTTGGCCTTTCTCCTTTTACCTGACTAGCATAATGTGTTGGTTTGAATGGGGCACTTTATCATTGGGATGGCTGTGGGGAGGTGGGCAGTTCTACAGGGGAGCCTGAGGCTGGCTGTGGTGGATAGAGCAAGGTAACTCAGGGGTCTGCCTGTGTTACAGAGTTGGTGCAAGCTTCTCCGCCGCCCAGGACTCACACCTGGCCATTGGCAGCTGAGGCTATTCTGTGCACTCTTGATGGTGGCCGGGTGGACCTGGATCTAGAGCCCCTGCCAGAGCTGTTGGCTGAGCTCCAGGCCCAGCAGGGCGGCGACCAAGGGGGCCGGCCCCATGCTTGCTCTGGCCGCAGAGCGGACTGAGGCGCCAGGAGAGGCCACGACCCTGCGGCCCCTGAGGGGCTGTTGAGGACGGAAGTTGTTGGTCAGCGGTACAGGCTGGGACCCCGCCTGAAGCAGAGTCTGGAACTGGACCACCTGTGAGGCAGGACAAAGACGAGTCACCCTGGGCGAGTGCAGGGGTGACATGGAGAGGCGGGCGGCGAACAGAGGACTCTTAACCTCACACGCCCGTCCCACCTGTGCACGCCCAATGGCCACCGGGTCCTCGAAGACAGTCCAGAGCACTGCGGGCTGGCAGCCAGGAGTTGTCAGTGACCCTGGGTAGCGGTAGTAAGGCGCCAGGTCAGCGGAGGAGGGCAGCACCGAGGCCAGGGGGAAGGTGGACGCCAGTTTTGCCGAAAGCCCTGGGCAAAGCAGCGAGGGGTATTAGAACAGGCTACCCTGGACTCCCCGCCCCAGCGACATACCCCATCTCCGAGGCGACCTTGTGTCTTACCGAGTCCAGACACGTTCTTCAGACCAGACACCAGGACCGAGAAGTTGGCATTGTCAGCATCCTGCTCCTGGGAGTGGGGGTGGGGGAAAATGGTTCCAAGTGAGGGTGGCGTCTCCAAAAATGGGGCTCTGTGAGGAGGACTTTAAGTGGGGAGAGAGTAGGGGACTGGGAGATGTGCAGGTCATCCAAGCTGACCCTGCAGATCCACTGGTCCCAGATTCTTCAGAACCCTTAAAGTCCCAAGCACCAACGGGTCCCCCACAGATCATAGGCCCTCCCTGTTCCCCGGGTCCCCACAGGCTGTTTCTGGGAGCACTCGGGACACACAGCCCCTCCCTCACTGTCAACAGCACTGCCAGCACGGCGAGTCCATCAGGGTGACCCAGCGCCTCCTGCATGCTCCGGTAACGCGTGTTCATGTGGACCACGTGCATCTGCGCGGCACAGGAGTCAGAAGTACTCCTCTGCTCCATCAGCTCCCCGCATTTCCGTGAGGCAGCCCCCATACGCCCGTAATACTCTTTATATGACCCGGGGTCCCACCTCCATGGAGCTGCGCTGCCCGTCCAGGCTGTGCTCCGAGCCTGCGCTCGCTGGCGTCCCCCAGTGAAAGTGCAGCTGCAGCGCGCGGTAGGACGGTGGCGGCAGCCCGGCGCCACGCATCTCCAGACGGCCCTGCAGGCCAGTGTCCACGTGCAGGAGCGCTGAGTGAGAGAGACAACGTAACACCCCATTCTCTCCTCATTTCCGACCCCCACGTGCCATTAGGGCTACGGGGGCTGAGATAGAGTGCAAGCAAAGTTCTCCCCTTTAGGCCTCCCAGTGGACCCAATCTCCTTGGAAGGGCACATCAGTGCATAGCTTCCCTGCTGGTTTGCTCTACAGCTCCACAGACTGCAGAAGAAACCCCCCACTATGCAAAACCAAAGAGAAGACTGCCTTCCTCTGATTGGAGTCCTGACCACTGGAATATGAGTGAGGGATGGTGACTAGTTTGGAATGTCCTGGTCCTGTGGGGGTTTCTGGGTGTGTCTTGACTCCTGGTCCTCAAAGGCAAAGGAGGATCCTTGTTGTAGGGGGCACTGACACTTGTATGTGGGGTGTCCCTGACCCATGTGTCTTGACCTCCATATATGCAGGTTCCAGGAGCCCTGGTGGTGCAGTGGGTTAAGTGTTGGGCTGCTCACAGAAAGGTCTCCAGTTTAAACCTAAACAGCTACAGCTCAGAAGAAAGATGAAACCATGTGCTTCCATAAAGAGTTGTAGTCTTGGAAACCCTATGGGACAATTCTACTGTTCTATAGGGCCTTGTAAGTTGGCATCGGCTCCACAGCAGTGTTTTTGTTTCCGAATCACCATATTTGAAAATTCTGTTTCCTGTGGGGAGTTCTCATCCTTGTGTGGTGGTTTCAAACCCACTTGTGGGAGGCCCTGACTAACATCTGTAATGGTATCCTAACCTGTGGTATCCCAACTCCTTTATGTGTGGGGCTTTTCTCTTGCGTGTGTGTGTGAAGGGAGTTCTCAACTTCTGTGTGAGGTTCCTGCCAGGTCTGTGGTGGGTCCTGGCCCCAGGGTGCTGACCTGTATGGCCATTATTCTCCAGAGTCCAGGGACCTGGGGGTGCAGAGTCGTAGCCTTGGAAGATGAAAGGCCCGAGGGTAGGGTCTCGCTGGACCAAGTGAAGGTCGATGTTGATGGGGGACTGGGCTGGGCCCCCACAGGCAGAGGCCATCTCCTGCCAGTGGGTGGGGCCTGAGGGGATAAGGTCTGTGGTCTGTAGGGCATGTCTGGGAGGCAGTTTGGAGGTACACACAAGGAGGGTAGCCCCATCCTCATACACACATCCAGAGAATCGTCTAACTTCAGGATACCCCCACTCCCCCCATATACCTGAACAGGTCACCACTGCCACATACACTCTCCAGGACGTGGCATACTAGGGTACAGTCCCTAGTATGGGGGTGGGGAAAGGGAGGTCTCTTGGCACAGGGTCACACACCCACATGATGGGACCCCCATCAAATACACATGTTGACCACACTTTATGCTAACACTGACTGACTGACACCAACAACACAGTTACAATCCAGTCAGCCAGCGGGACTCAGGATGGCTGACAGAGGCAGACAGGCAGACAGGCAGGCAGGCAGGCAGGCAGACAGACAGACAGACAGACACACACACACACACACACACACACACACACACACGAGACTCCCACAAAGCAGTCCTCACCACACTTTGGGTCTTGGGAGTCGTAGCACCAGGCGCCTGTGGGCAGAGCAGGAGAGGGAGTTGAGTGAGGCCAAGCCTTCTAGACCCACTCAACTCCATCCCAGCCTGCAAGTCCAAGGATTGGTGATCAGGTGAGACCAGCGCCGAGCCCGTGAAGTTGTCACATCAACTTTCCCCGCAAGATAAAAAAAACAAAACCTTGGACCTAAGGTGGAGAGGCGGACAGATCAGGTACGGCTGGGCAGGTCGCCCGCGCTTACCCTCCAACTCTGCACGCACGACCAGCCACACTGCCAAGGCGGCCAGAAGGAAGTTGATGGATTGCATGATGTAGGCGGCCGCGCGGCAGTAACTGGGCAGTAACCGGGTGAGGTGACTGTAGGGGAAGACGAAGCCTGGGTCGCCGTGGCGACTCGACAGCAAAACTGAGTATATGACTCTCTCCTTGAAACCTCCAATAGGTCCTATGATCATCCCTATTTTGCAGTCGGTGATGGTGAATGAGGACCAGGAGTGACAAGCCAAGGTACCGACAAAGGAGGGAGCTGGCGGCGGTAGACCCCACAGACCCGCCCCTTAGGGCGGTTCCACTTCAGGCCCACCCCGCCCCGCCAGCGCCCCTGGCTCTCACAGAAGGTCCAGCTCCTTGCAGGTGCTAGGGCAGGGCTGGAAGGCGTCAAGCTTCCCTTTCCGAGTTCCAGCTGGGTGCCCTGGCCCATCCTCTCCAAGTAAACAGTTCTTGGGACTGTCTGAAAGTCAGAGGGCTGGTTCAAGCTGGCCAATACGGACCAGTCACCCACCCACCGAGATCCAGAGGTGCTCCAACTGGGACCTTGAGAAGGTCTACAGTCTGGGTTACTGATCTCCAAGTAAGGGGATAGGGGCTGAGCTCCAAACACCCTTCACCAGCCCCACCAATTCTCGGACCCCATGCAAATCAACACTCTGGCTCCTGTCACCAGAGTGTGGGAGGGCTGTTTGGTCTTTCAGTCTTCATGTTACAGGTATGCAGGAAGCCCCCTAGGATAGTCATGCAGTAAGGTTAGTGACCCAGCCACCGCACCTGTCTGTGGCGTTATAGGGGTTGGGTCACCCCAAGATGGACCAAGCCTCTTTCAGAACACATTTATTTGGCATTTGGATGAAATGGTTCTCACATCATCTTAAGAAAAGGATTAGTGCTAACCCAACCAAAAATAAACCCAAACTAAAAACCTTTAGTGAAAGGAATACAAAACAGGCATTGAGACAATGTACAGTATCAAATTGCAGATCCGCAGACAGGTCAAAGTGTGCCTGGTCTCACACCAAGTGGCCTGGTGAGTCCCTGTAGAGGAAGCCCTCCCGAAGGCTCTGGGGCCCTGGACAGAAGGCAGGCTGCTGTCACAGGAACACACATTTCAGCATGGGCTGGCCGCAGACAGCCAACTGATGGAAGTGAGGGAAGAGGGGAGATCCCCTGCTCCTTGTTCCCTTCCAGCAGAACACAAAGCCTGGAACACCCACTCCTTGGGGCTGGGTGGGCAGAAGGCAGGACTCTGGGGCAGCCCATGTTAATGGGCAGGACACAGTGGTTGGTTGAGGCCTGGTGAGAGGGAAAGGAGAGTCACTTAGTAATAACACTGGGAGCCCAGCAAAGGCAAGCCAACGCTTGCATTTCCTAAGGCCTACTACAGTCTAACCCTTCTTCACTGCCTCCTACACAGACTGACCCAACAGTTTTTGGGTCCTAGAAGCTTCCCTAGCTTCACCCTGCCTGTAAGCAGGCTCTCAGGCTGGGGACCCTATGCACTGTCTGAGCCAGGTCTAGATGGTCCCTTGTACACTCGGAACTCTTGATGGCAGCAGCAAGACTGTGCCAGCCACTCTGGAACACAGCTCCCTACTGCCAGTGCTCATTGAGCATGCTTGGTTCTTGCTGTCTTTGGTGCCAGCATGAACATGAGGCACACTTTTTAATTGTAGACAGGTCCTTGGTCAAGAGCCTGCCTGTATCAAGGATAGTGTCAGGGCAGGCCAACACAACAGCTACAACTCACACCTCTGGCTAGTTTTGGGGACTGAGTGCCAGTCCTAGGGCAACTCTGGGAATCCTCTAATTTCATAGTGGAAAGAAAAATGGTGGCCAACCAGCATGAGAGAGCATGACTGGAACCTGCCCTCTGAAGGTCTGTCATCACAGTATCCACATCAGGTAAACCTCCCTATTGCTGCTCATACTCGTCTGGGAAGGCGGAGTGAAACAAGGAACAAGTGTCCTGTGGACTTGTTGCCCCCCCCCCAAGATCCCATACCCAGCAGGAGCCGCCCTATTCAGAGCTCCTATCTACTGCTACTACCTGTATGTGCGCACATATGCGCACACACACACGAGCACACAAAGAAAACGTCCAGACATTTCATGTAGAAAAGGTATGAGTGTGCTGAAAAATCGCACAGAACCCGTGTCATCGCCAACCTCAGAAATGCTAGAGCCCACCCCAGGTCACCAAGGGTGCTGCCAAGGAAGGAAAGCTGGGGGTTAGCGGGGGAGGACTTGGCTCCAGCTGTCACAGAGGGAGTATGTAACAAGAGGACTTTGAGGAGGCAGGAACAACTCAGGATGTTCACTGAAGTCACCCTCCTTTGAAGACACAACCCTTCATGGCACAAACGAGGTAAGTGGGGGGAGGTAAGGCCCAGAGCTAAGACAAGAGGAGGCAGGGCTCCAGGTTGCAGAAGGGAGCCAGTTTGGTTTCGATCCCCAGCAAAGGGTCCAGGACCAGGACTTCACAATGATGGTTTAGGGTTTCAAGCCCAAATGCAGAGCCTTCTGGAGTGGGTGATGTTGGAGGAAAAACAAAATGTCGGGAGAGTGGACAAGCAAGAGGGGAGCTTGCACTCCTTCCACACTCCTAGGCCAGTCTCCAACCCAGGGCAGGGTGACAGGATGCTTACAGCTGGACTTGTGGGGACTGTCTCCCAAGCAGCCATTGGAGTACATTCAAAGCCTGCCTGTTTGATGCAAACCCATGGCTCACGTGATGCTGGCAGTTGCTTTAGCATCTGGAGCTGTCCTTCTGAACCCAGCAGTATCTTGTGAGGCTTTGTTCAGGTGGCTGGTGACCTGCTCCACTCCAGATGGCTCACTGGAGAAGTAAGCTCACCAAAGACATGTCTGGTTTGATTCTGGAGCCACTGCCTTGGAGGCCTTTATGTTCCCTACCCCTAGAATGTGCGATGTGAGCAAACTTATGTCTTTCTTTGGCCATTTAAAAAGAAAAAAGACAGTGACCAAAGCTAATCATGATTGTGAAGCCTCAAGGACTTCTGGTGGCATGTCCTTGCTCCTCCCAAGAAGTTGGCATTGTTTCTGCATATGTGTGTGTGCATGCAAACACACACACATTTGGGTGGGCTGGTGATTGTGGAGCTGGGTTCAAGCTAAATCCAAGGGCCCCTGCAAGTTTCCCATGGTGAGTTGTGTTTCCTGGATAGCAAACGATGCTCACATCCATGAGGGGGCAGCTACACCAGCCTCTACACCACCGTGTTGAGGGAACTGCAGCTGTGCAGGCTGCGCCCCAGCAGTGCCTCTGCGGTAGGGGTACTCTCGCTTGGGACGGGGGCAGGAGGCACCAGCAGGGCACTACTGCTGTCGGCCGAGTCTTCCAGATATGCCAGAGGGGTTCCCGTAGAGGGTAGAGGCTGCTCTAGGTGCCGGGACGAAGCCCCATCACTGCTGCTGTCCCCCACGGCCGGTGGGCTGGATTCTGCTGGCTCAAAGGCATTGTCATCTGCAGGGAGAGACAGGGGGACATCAGAGACAGGGCCCTGAGCATGGCATGGAGGAGGCAGGATGGACTGGCCAGAACCAAAGGACATGCTTCCTCTCCAAATGCTCCCTCTGCTGCTGGGTGGGTTGGGAAGTCCACCTGATCCAGGGAGGGCCTGCTCTGCCATTTGTCTTGCAGGACATACCCACCTGCCTCCAAGGCCCGGGACACAGCTCAAGCAGGCAACCATGGTTCACACTACTAGAGAGTTTGCAAGTGTGTGTGTTAAAAAGACTGTGTGTATGTATATAGACTAATTGATGGAGTCATGCAGACCAAGGATAACAAGGCAAACTATGATGGAGGACGGTCCAGTATGTGTCAGTTGACATGGGCTCTGCAGCCCTGCAGCCAGTGGTAGGACAGAAAGGAGAGATGAACAGATCAACTCCTGGCCAGGAATTGGGACTGGAAGAGGCACACATGTGAGAGTTGGGCATGAGCAGGCAGGGCCTCAGAAGCCACACAGGCATATGTAGAAAGTTCTGACCTCAACTAAGGCTAGGCTGTATTTTTGTCAAAGTCCCAAGGACAGGGGTCACATCCAAGTCTGTTGGTTAAATCTAGGTGAGTTGTGCTGGCCAATCAAGTGGACACATGTGACTGAGACCCTTCCCTGGGAGCACATGCAGTCTCAGATGAGGGGTATAAGATAAGTATAGGTTGGCTCTTGGGGCAGGGTGCTGTTGGCAGTCACACTGCACAATAGGGCAGGAAGCAACAGGAGCCCAAGCACTAATGCCCCGAGCAGCCCAGAGACTGACCGATGAGTGGAAACCCTGGTATTTCTTCGTTGAAGCCTGGGAGGAACTGTCCTCATGTTCACCACGTGGCAGAACGAGTACTTTCTTTCATTTCATGGAGTGGCTGCCTGACACGGGGCCTGGTCTGATGGTTCCTCGTCTTTCACCAGATTGCATGCTGGTCAGCTCCTGGCCCTTGGCTCTGGTTGGGACTGGCTCCTTCAGTCCTGGCCAAGAGGCTGTGGGCAGCCTCCCCACTCTTCAGTGTCTGGCTGACGGAAGAGGTTCAGGAGGGGGTGCCCACAAAGGAAGCTCAGTGAACAGGTGTTCAAGATGAGGAGTAAGAGGTGGTCCCTGGTCTCACTGAAGCCCTTGCACCAGGTGACCAGGGCTTGGCAGTGAGCACTGGCTCTTGGCACAACTTCCAACAGTTCATTTGCACATGTAGCCTTTGAAGGAGCCTGTGGTCAGGTGACCCACCTGTGTTCTGGGGCAGGACTGCTCACTAATAGGTTGTCAGGTATGGACTCAACTTATACAGCCCTTGAAGGAGCCTGTGGGCAGGTGACCTACCTGCAGTTCTAGGAAGGGCCCACTTATGGACAAGTGACGAGATGTGGAATCACCATTTGGTCATAGTTCTAGGATCTTCCAAGCCCCTATCAACTCTAAGAGCCGTAGTGTGGTGCTATAGGATCAGCACTGGACTGCTTAACCTCAGATTTGGCGGTTCAAACCCACTAGCTATTCCTCAGAAATCCTATACAGGGTCGCTCTGAGTCCAAATCAGCTTGACAGCACTTAAAACACCACAACCACCTCTAAGACTAATAAATAGGAGCTGATCAGACCAAGAGAGATCACCAGGGGGCCTCAAGAGGTCTCATGTGACCTATCATGGCCAGGAGCTGAAGCCCCTAAAATCCTGGTTCCCCAAATGGAACTTTCTGGTTGGTTAAGAGTGAAAATCTATTCTCCAGAGGACACTGTGTCCCTTTGCGACATGGAAGCTTCACATGGTGACTCCTTCTGGCCCTCACTGTACAAACCTCCTTGCTTCTTTTTTGATTGTGAGAAAATGGCAATAGAATAGCAGCCTCGCCCTGAACTCTGTGAGTTGTTCTAGCCAGTAAACAAACCCATGGAGTCAGAACGAGCCAGCAGTTCATCTAATGAGTGAGCTCTGGCCCAGCTCCAGATGGCTGAGGCTGGGATGGAGAATGCCACAAGACAGGCTAGCAAAGGAAGGTGAGGCTGGACCCATTTGGGATCTGATTCATGCTGATCCTTGTCAGTAGAGGTGGGATGTGTCCCTGTGAAAGGCTTGCTCCTGTATGGGTGACAGTGCCCTCTGCAACTGTGGAGACCCCGAGCTTTTGGAGCACATGCAGACAAATGACTCAGTGCTTGCCCTGGAGTTTGGGCAGGTACCTGCAGGGTCATAGAACATGCTGTCTGGGTTGATGGAGGCCTCGTAGGGTGGTGGTGGGTCGTCAGGTTGGTCGATGTCAGGATACTTGTAAGCTGTGTAGGGTGGGGGAGGGTCGTGAAAATGGAAAGCTCCCCCTTCCCCATCATCAGAGAGGTGGAGTGGCGTGAGCCCAGTGCCAAACCCGTCTGGGCCATAGTCGAAGCCGGGGATTCTCCGACCAAGGTTGAAGTGGTGCACTGTGGATCGAAAGCAGAGACAAGATGCAGCCCCGGGTCTTGCACCGGACCAAGGGGGCACACCCTCACCCTAGGCCCACCCGTTTAGTGAGGGTTCTGCTACTTTCTTGCATGCCCTACCCTGTATCTATCCAATGCAGCATCAGAGCAGGTCAGGTCTACTGCCATACCCCACTTGGGGCTGCCCATGACCTCCAGCATTCCCACAAGGCTCGCCCATGAATCCAACCCACCTCTGGAGGTCTGTCTGCCTGCAGCCCTGTTGTGCACCAGGGAGGTTTCAGTGAGAACCAGAAAGCAATCCCAAGAAAGCCCTGCTGGCCTGGCCCACAGGGTGAGGAGCAGAACCACAGTGGCAAGGGAAGCACCCAACTGCAACAGGCCCAGTGTTCCCTCATGGGTCCCTCTAGACGCTCGGTCCTCCGCCTGCTGGCCCGTCTCTACCAGGTACCCTCTCTTACCACAAGGGCCTCTGTGGAGGCGCCTCCAGGACTGGATGGGGCACTGCTAAAGAGCTGGTGCTGAGGAGCTGGCCCACATTCTCAAGGGCTTAGTAGCAACTAGTTCCTGGTGCTCACTCAGGCAGGCTCTGCTGGGCTCTGCCTCCTGGCCAGGGGCCCACACTCACTTCTCGGGCCACCACCACAAGAGATAAAATCATCGTCTGGAACACGTCCTGCCTGTAAGGCTCTGAGGACAGAGGTGGGGAGCAATTGGTACTGCTCCTGTGACCCTAATGCTCCTGTGGCCTCAGCTTGGCTCTAACTTGCCTGGGACTATAATTGGTGGGCCGTGCAGACCCAGCCCAGGAACAGAGTGGGGGACAATGCCATGGAATCCCACACTTCAGGGTTGCAGGGGTGGGAGGCAGACATGCTCCTTCCCCTAGACCCTCCCTGCACCTGATCCCTCTAACCCCCATACCGCAAAGTCAGCACCACACTTGACTTTAGAGGGTGTAAAGCCTGAAGTACAGGCAGACCCAGGGCTACCACGTGGACATCAATGGACAGGGGACCAGCTGGGACTCACTCACAGTTTGCTCCAATCAGGGACTCGATGCGCTCGCGGCGTCTCTGGCGCAGCCGGTGGACCATGAAGAGCAGCAGGGACAGGATGAGGAAGGAGGAGATACAGCTGACAATCAGACGCATCCCACTGGCCATTGAGTCGAACAAGCTGTTACCGTCTGTCCCATAAAAAGAGGGAGAATGCCGGCTCTTAGATGGAAAAGTCTCAGTGGGCACAATGCCATGACCCCCAACCCCATACCCCCATGTTCAGTATGGGACAGAATGTCAAGGAAGTGATGTGGTAAGGGCATGTCGATTGCCAGATTTAAGTCTGACCATCTCTCAGGATATATGAGGGGGTCTTCTAAGGCTTGTGGGAAAAACTTCCATCATTTTTAATTCCATTTTTCCATAAACATTTTGAAGCTTCTTCGTATGTTAATAATAAAACAGTTCAAAATCAAGAACCTTGTGATAACTTCAAAAGAACAGAGAAACAGATGAAGAAAGACCCTCCACTTTACCAAACATGATATCCTTCTCCAGTAACTGTGTCCCTTCTTTGGACGTTCATAATAGGACGTCCAAAGTATGAGAGACAAAGTCTGGCCATCCTGGCTTCCAAGGAGCATTCTGGCTGCACTTCTTCCAACACAGACCTGTTTGTTCTTCTGGCAGTCCATGGTACTGTCAATATTCTCTTCCAACACCGTAACTCCAATGCATCAATTCTTCTACAGTCTTCCTTATTCACTATCCAACTTTCATATGCATATGAGGTTATTGAAAATATCATGGCTTGGGTTAGGCACAACTTAGTCCGATGTACCTAATGCAATATGTTGTTTGATTTCTTGACTGATACATCCATGAATGGTGAGACTGGATCCAAGCAAAATGAAGTCTTTGACAATTTCAATCTTTTCTCCATTTATATGAGGTGATTGTTGTTGTGAAGTGCTGTTGAGTCGGTTCTGGCCCATAGTGACCCTGTTTAGGGTTTCCAAGGAGCAACTGGTGAGCTTGAATCACTGATGCTGGGGTTCAAACCTACCTTGTAGCACATTAACCTACAGTGCCACACCAGGACTCCATTTGAGGTGATTACACATGTCAAATTATCTGTATCTGTACTATGCCCCCCTTTTTGGTTGTATTATTGTTGCATAATTATACAAAACCTACCATTTGTCCATTCATTCCTTTTCCCTATGTACAGCATACTGACATCAGTTTTACATCAGCCATGTAGGTCAAACTCCACCCATTACAACCAGTGCCATTTTTCCCAATGCAATAAACAAAAAGTGATTACTACCTAAGGGGTACTTCTCCCTGCTTCCTTCCCCTGTTGTTGTTGTTAAGTGTCATCCAGTCAGTTCCAACTCACAGTGTTTCTGAGGCACCCGGGTAACCATTAATAAACATCAGTGTCTGTATATTTACCTAGAAGACTGAGAACATATAATATTTGAATTTTTTTGTGGGTGAATTCTATCACTTAACATAATGTCGTCCAGGTTAATCCACACTGTAATACGCTTTGGGAATTCATTTGTCTTTATCACTAAGTAGCGTTCCACATTGTGATGTAGGATAAGCATTCAACTGCTAACCAAAAGGTTGGTGGTTCAAACCCATCAGCTTTCCTTACAGTGGGTTGGTATGAGTCAGAAGTGACTCAATGGCACTTAACTTGTGTCCCATTGTATGCATGTATCACATTTTACTTAAGCATTCACCCACTGTTGGGTACTTGGGTCGTTTCTTATCTTTTTGCTACAGGGAATAGTGTTGCAATCAAGTGACTTCTATTAGATCCCTAGGGTATATACTCATGAAGTGGAATTGCTGGGTCAAATGGCAGCTCTGGGGAAAAGTAGTAGCTCCATATGGTAAGTACTGGGCTGTGAATGACATGGTTCAAGCCCATCAGTTACTCTGCTGGAGAAAATGAGACTTTCTGCTCCTGTGAAGATTTAAAGCCTCGGAAACTCTCTCTCTATAGGGTCTCTATGAGTCAGAATCAACTTGACAGCACTTAACAACAACATGGCAGCTCTACCTCTATCTTCTGAGGAACCTCCAGACTGTTCTCCACAACAGCTGTACCATTTTGTATCCCCATTAGCAATGCAACTACATCTTATTTCTCCACATCCTGGTCAACATTTGTTATTTCCACCATTTTATCTTAGTCTTCTGTTGTTAGGTGCTGTTGAGTTGGTTCCAACCCACAGTGACCCTGTATAGGGTTTCCAAGTAGCAACTAGTTGAGCTTGAACTGCTGAACTTGCAATTCAAACCAACTTTGCAGTCTAGCACATTAATTCACAGCACCACTTAGCCTTCTAGTGGGAAAGAAATGGTATCTCATTGTGGTGGTTTTTTTAAATGTTTTATTGTGAATTATGTGATAGTTTACATGGGAGAACATTACTTTTACATTCATCATATCGTATATATAATTTCATTGCCATGGTTACAATACCCTCCATGCATCATCAACCAACCAAAGGGTATACACTACAAGCCTGCCCCTCAGTCTTCAGCACACAGTCCCTCTCCCTCTTTGTGTCCAAAGTCCCCAACTACTCCATCTCTCCACGTCATCGTCTCTGCCTCCATCTTAGGTATCACTGCTTCTCTGGGTAGGCTCCTGTTCTCCGCTCTTCTCCCTTGATGGTCCCAGGGACCTCAGCTCCTAAACTGAAAAGTTATAATCTCATTGTGGTTTTGATCTGCATTTCTCTATGGCTAATGATGTTGAGCATCTTTTCAAGTGTCTATTAACCATTTGAATATTCTCTTTGGTGAAGTGTTTGTTCATGTCCCTTGCCCAGTTTTTGATTAAATTGTCTTTTTGTTGTTAAGTTATATATATTTTAGACATCAGATACTTATCAATTAAATCATTTACCAAGATATTTTCCAAGGTTGATTCTTTATTGTTACGACTAAATTTTTTGATGAGCATACATACAGGTAGTGCCAGACTTACAACATACTAGAGTTACAATGAACTGCATTTAACAACTGTGGATTTCCCCCCCAATCTTACTGTTAGTAATATGTATTATATACAATGTTACAGTGCATAATTTGTTGATGTTTATATGTAATGTTTCCAACCCCCAAAGACAAAGATCAAATTTATAAAGATACTGATAATAAAAGTTAGGAGTCCTGGTGTGGCATTGAAGGATAAGTACTGGACTGCTAACTGCAAGGTCAGTGATTCAAACCTAGCAGCATCTCCTTGGAAACTCCATATAGGGTCAATATGAGTTAGAATGACTTCGACGGCTATTGTTATTGATGTTAAGTGCCATCGAGTTGGTTCCGACCCAAAGCGAACTTGTACATGGTTTCCAAGGAGCAGCTGGTGAGCTTGAACTGCTGACCTTGAGGTTCAAACTGACTTTACAGTCCAGCGCATTAACCCATACCGACACACCAGTGTTCTGTTGTTGTTAAGTGTTGATTCCAACTCATAGTGACCCTGTATAGGGTTTCTAAGGAGTGGCTTGTGAACTTGAACTGCTGGCCTTATGGCTTACAGTCTAGTGCTGATCCTATAGCGCCACACCAAGAGTCTATGTATGTATATATGTATAACAATGTATGATAAGCACTCGACCGCTAGGATGGTTTGAACTACAAGGTTGGTGGTTCAATCTCACCAGCCATTCCTTGGAAACTCTGTATAGGTCACTATGAGTTGGAGCCAACTCAACAGCACTTAACAATAACAAAAGTATGTGTATACATACATATAAATGTATGTATATATATACATATAGATATGTAGAGAGAGAGACTAAAAAGGCAATAATGAAATATAAAGAGAAAAAAGAGGCATTCAACTTTGTTCAGAACTACTTACAATGGAGTCGTAAGAATAGAACCCCATTGTATTTAACTTTTATGAGGTTCCAGTTACCTATTTTGTATTCTATTGCTCATACATTCATTATTGTATTGACAATCTACAATGGTCCCAAAGCTCTGCTCCTGAATTTTCTTCTGGGAACTTTATGGTTTTAGATTTAACATGTAGGTCCTTGATGCATTTTGAATTAGTTTTTGTGTATGGTGTAAAACTGACAGATTGTTTTTGTAATAGTATCTTGTAACTAGAGATCTTATGCAACACAATTATGGCTTCTAGTGACTTTTCTGTAAACGCTTTTGGATTTCCTATGTAGATAATTATGTGGTTGTCAAAAAGAGACAGTTTTCATTCTTCCCTTCCAGTCTGGATGCCTTTTGGCATCTTTTTGCCATCTGCAGTGGCTTGGCCTTCTGTACAAAGCTAAGTAGGTTGGCAAGAGGTGGTGAGGATAGACACCCTGGCCTAGTTGGAAGAGACCCTTGAAAGGCTAACATCTGAAATACAATTTCCAGTGTCTCTAGTTCTAGGGGCAGCATCTCCAGCCTGGGTGTAGTGTGAGTACTTCTCAGAAGAAAGAAGTCTGCCTGCAGAGCAAGAGAAAGAGCTGAATATTGCTGAGCAAGAGAGTGGGCCTGCAGCAGCACTGGGCAAGGCTAAAGTCCCCTTGAGGGCCCTGTTCTGCTGAAAGGTGAACCCTAAGAGGCTCCACATACTCAGATAGATTATCATTCCATTCATCTGGTCTTGATTACAAAGCTGGAGCAGAGTGCAAGGCAGTGCTAGGAAATTTCTCAAGACAATGAACTAGAAATCTAGGACATAGGGATTGTAGGAGACAGATTCTGATAGTCATATAAGATGTGGGATCAGGAGTTTCAAGGTGATGTGGCTGGGGTAGAGGAAAGTTGGGAAGCACCCAACCAGGATCCACAGTCCTGCAGGAATGTAACCTACACAATCACACAGAATGTGGTCAACCTTCTGAGAAGCCCCTTGTACCAGTCTCCAGTTCTATGTCTTCTTGGGGACTCCATTGCAAATATGACCTGTATGCTCACTGCAGCCCATTGCACATTTGAAGATATATGTGCCAGAGTATCCACTCCTGCTATGCTTCACACACAGATTCTGAAGGACACTTTCCAACACTTCACACTGGAACAGTGCATTGTGCTGGACCTCACAACCAGGCCCCACTGTTTCCTTCTAAAAGCCCCAGGCAAACCAATCTCTCCTTGTAACAGGGCTCACGAGCTGAGGAATCTCCACAAATCCCACCACTCATTGTCACTTTCACTCTGAGACATCCAAGGAAAAAGTAAGTTCATGTTCTTCTGATTTAGTCTGCTTTTGATTGACTTTTCTTAAGATGTTGAATTCGTACAAAGCAATCAACTGCACTAGTGTAGCAATTATACATGCATTGCAATCTGATAGTGACCTTCAGGGGGTCATGTGGACTCCTCTATTTTTGGAAGTTGACGCAAAAGAGTGATCTAGAGAGATCAGATCTCTAAGTAGGGTCCACCTGTACAGCTCCACCCAGTGGGGAGGAGGTTTATTTTGAAACTGGGGGTAATAAATCATTGTTTTCTTGAAGATTCCAACAGTGAAAGTTGATGACTATAAGCAATAAAAATTGTCATTACTCTCCACAAACATCATATTATGAAAACTAGAATTCATGAACATATGAAAGGGCTTCAAAAAATTCATGGACAAATGGAATGAAATTTTTTCATGAACATCTGAATCTTAAAAGGAAAAGACAGGTTTGAATGCATCAGTTACAGTGGATCTGTGAGGCTAGAACTTGTGAACAAAACTTTTTACCTGTATGTTGAGAAGCAGCAGTCCAAGGATACTAGGTCATATGAAACACATGCCTACCACAGTGGCGTCAAAGCCTCTGAGTCAGCTCTGCAAAGCAGCAGTGGCTGCTACATCGCATACCAAGAGCTCCAAAGAGTCCTTACGCTAGACTTTGTCCCTGAACAAAGGGGCAGACTTGGAATCCAGCATCAATCTCACCTGGATCCAGACACATGAACTTGCAGCACTCCTTGGGGTCCTTGAGGTATTGCTGGCAACCCTGGGGTCGCTCACAGAGGGCGGCCACACACATCTCTGGCTCCCCACCATGACAGGTACAGCTCAGGCACAGGTCATCCCCTTTGGGAGTGAAGGAAAAGCCCTCATCCACCACGTTGTCTTTGATGTCCACACACGTCTGGCCTGCAGAAAACAAACATGTACACATATGCATTACCAGAAGAACAGATACAGCGGACTCAGAGCTAGGAACTGTCTTTATTTTCCCCACGTGGGCCTGAGTGTGGTCAGGACAACTGAGGAGTTGGCAAGATTGTGTCTGAGACCTCCTAGTGCTAGGCTTCTATAAACTGCAGCACCTCTTCAGGGAGCAGCTGAAAACTCAAAAGGACCATGCACACCTGGCCAGGCTCGCTACTGAGCCGGGGGAGCAGGGAAAAGAAGAACACTGGATCTCAGGGGGAAAGTGCATGAAGAAGTTGTTTATTTTCAAAATTAATATTACTTGCTTAATTTTAATTAACAACAACAACAAACTTTCTTTCATGAAATGGATGAAAGTTTACAGAGCAAATCAGCTTTCCATTTAATGATTCAGAACAGTTATGAAAGAAGGAGGAATGGAAACGTAAAACATGGAGGAAGTGGGATAAATGATGTTACACTGAGGGGATTGCAATCAATGACAAGAAACAAAAAGGAAAACTGAAGGCTCTGTAAGCCTTCATTCCGTTCACACTAAAAAGTTAAAAAAAAAAAAAAAATTGAGTCCGTGTTGGTAACCCTTCACTCAATTCACAATAAAAAGTTTAAAATCAAACAAGAGGATACTGAATGGTTTAAAATCAGAAAAGGTGTGTCCCTGGGTTGTATCTTTTCACCATACTTACTCAGTTGAGCAAGGAATCTGAGAAGCTGGATTATATGAGGAAGCACATGGTACTAAGACTGGAGGAAGACTCACTAACAATCTGTGATATGCAGATGGTACAACCTTGCTTGCTGGAAGCAAAGAGAACTTGAAATATTTACTGATAAAGATCGGACTGCAGTTTTCAGTATGGATTGCACCTCAATGCAAATAAAACACAAATCCTCACCAATGAACCAATAAATAATGATTGTTGTTAAGTGCCGTTGAGTTGGTAGTGGCCCTGTATATGGTTTCTGAGGAGCAGCTGGTGAGCTTGTAATGCCAACCTCTCAGTCCAGCGCATTAAACCATAGTGCCATACCAGGACTCCAACATCATGATACATGGAGAAAATATTGAAGTTGCCAAAAACTTCATAACTGAATAGATACCATGTAAAGTATGATTTCCTGTCTCCCCACCCACTCATCCCTGTTAACTACCAGTGAACACTGGTTTGTGTATGTATACATATTTATGCCTTTTTATTAAAATGAGATAATGCCCTTTTGTGATCACTTATTTCACTCAGTCTATGTAAGGAGCTCTGGTAGTGTAGTGGTTACGAATCGGGCTACTAACCTCAGGAACAGCAGTTTGAAACTACCAGCTGTTCCACGAGAGAAAGATAAGACTTTCTGCTCCCATAAAGATTTACAGCCTTGGAAACCTTGTACATGGTTGCTATGAGTCAGAACCGACTCCACAGTACATAACCACCAACCATGTATGTCTTTCAGATTCATCTACGGAATAAGGTGTTTTAAGGACTCTTCATTGTTATTTATGGTTGTACAGCATTCCATTGTAGGTATTCATCACATTTTGCTTATTACTACATTTAGCCATTTGAGAACCATCAGATTGTTTTACAAAACGACTGTGAGATTTTGCATTCCCACAAATGATGTATGAAGTTTCCAATTTCTACATATCCTCTTAAACACCTGTTATTATTTGAATTAGTTATCTTTTTGTTCTATTCATCCTAGTAAATGAGATGTGGTTTAAAAAAAAAAAATCGCTGAGTCTATACTAATGAAGATAAATAAATGGGGGGAAGACTGAAAAACTTACCCATACAAGAGAATGCCAATTACTAAATAAAGAGGAATAATGGAGTTAGAAAATCATCAATGGCTGCTACACTCAATGTACAAGTTTGATAAGGAACAAGATTTTTAACACAGTCTCAAAGTTAAAAGTATTGCTAACAGGATTACAGTTTATATGCGCATGAATTTATTCTAAACAAAATGTGTTTAAGTGGCACTTTGGGCAAGATGGAGGATTAGATGCACTACATGATCGCCCTCTGTAACAAAGATACGAAAGAGTAAATGAAGCAGACACAGATGAGAATGGTGGACCCCTGCCCTTCAGAGGAATGGTTACAGAAAGGGACTCAGTACATGCTGGGTAGAGAAGCTGAGCAGTAACAGAGAAACAGGGAGACAGTCTGGGGAATGGCCAGTCAGAAGAGGCACGGCCATCCTGGGAACAGCTTTGGCAACAGAAGGTGGCCTGGCAGAGCACACATTCACACATGAGACAGGACAGATGTGATTCCTTTTTACCCCACACTCCGCTGATGACCAGAGATGTAGTCACCTCCCACCCTAAACCACTCCCAGCTCAGACCTCACTCTCCAGGAGTTTGGAGTCGTATCTGGAGTCATGCCAATGTGAAGCAGGGGCCATCTGTGTCACTTGGTGCCTGGATTCAGGCGGCCTTGGCTCCAGACTTATAGAACTCACAAAGCAACCAATTCGGCATTTAACCAGTCACCTTGCCCCCAGATGCCCTGTGGTCCTAACAGACACTGAAACCAGCTCCATCAAATGCCTCCACGAACTACTTATAGATTGAGTGCCCTTAACATAGAAAAGGAGACTGCCAGGAACTCCATCTAAGGCCAGAAACTTTGCTGTCACATCCCTCCCACACCCATCTCTTGAACTCCTTGGCTTGCAGGAGCCCCCAAGAGTCTTCTCTCTGGGTTCAACAGCTATACTGTGTGGTGTGTTTTTTTGTTGTTGTTAAAGCTTTTGGTTTTTTTTTTTTCTTTTGTTTCATTGTTTTTCTTTATTCTTTCTCCTTCTTCTCTTCCAGTTCCCTTGAATTTTTTTTCTATCAACATTGTTGTCCTTTTATCCTTCTGTTTCTCATTTGCCCTCTTGTTTCCTTTTAATTTTTCTTTACTAGGAGCTCTGGTAGCGTAGTGGTTAAGAATCGAGCTGTGAACGTCAAGGTCAGCAGTTCGAAACTACCAGCTGTTCCGCGGGAGAAAGATGAGGCTTTCTGCTACCGTAAAGATTTATAGCCTCAGAAACCCTGTACAGGGTCGCTATGAGTTGGAACCGACTAAACATCACACAACAACTCTCTATGTTCTCTTTTCATCTTCCCTCTCTCTGCTGTTTCTAAATGGTTTTTCATTTTGCTTTCTTTTATTTTCCACCTTATTTTTTTTTCTATAGCTACACTTTCCTGTACTTTTCCTTTTTAGCAATTCTTATGTGTGTGTGTGGTTTTTTAATTAAAAACAACATTCTATCAATGGAGAAAATATTGAAGTTGTCAAGGACTTCATTCTTCTTGGATCAATTATCATCACTCATGGACATATTACATTAGGCAAATCTGCTGCACAAGACCTTTTTAAAATGTTGAAGAGCAAAGATGTCAGCTTGAGGACTAAGGTGCACCTGACCCAAGCTATGGTATTTTCAATAGCCTCATATGCACGTGAAAGCTGGACAGTGAATAAGGAAAATCATAGAAGAATTGATGCTTTTGAGTTATGGTGATAGAGAATACTGAACGCACCATGGGCTGCCAAAAGAAAAAACAGATCTGTGTTGGAAGGAAGTGCAGCCAGAGTGCTCCTTGGAGGCCAGGATGACCAAACTTCATCTCTCATACTTCGGACATATTGTCAGGAGAGTCCAGTCTCTGGAGAAGGTTATCATATTTGGTAAGGTGGAGGGTCAGAGGAAAAGAGGAAGACTCCCAGTGAAATGGATTGGCAAAGTGGCAGCATCAATGGGCTCAAGTGTGGCAACAATTGTGAGGTTGTCCCAGGATCGGGCAGTGTTTCGTTCTGTTGTACATATAGGATGGCTATGAGTCGGTACCGACTTGACGGCATCTAACAACAACAACGTGTGTTTTTTTTTTTAAATTACGTTTTTCTTTTATTTTTCTCTCTTACAGCTCCATTTCCCTGTTCCTCCTATATCTTTAGAGTTATTACATTCTTTTTTTCTTGCTGCTGCCTATTTTTTTTCCTCCTTTTTATTGTTTTATCTTTTCATTGTTGGTTCCTTGTTTGTTTATTCTCTTTTATTTTCTGGTGTGTGAGGAGGAGGGGTTTTCTCTTTCCTATCCAACAACAGGCAAAAACCTTGCCCATATAGCTCAGTACCCTCTGCAGCTCCACCCGCTGGGCAAAAAGCCAGTACACCAAGCTTCTATGCCACATGATCAATAATAGATAGCAGCCAACACTAACCAAACCCACCCTAAAGTGAGGGCATGAACAGCAAACAAGAACAATGTACATATCTCTATTCTCTAATTACAACCACTGGAGACAGTTGATGAGAGCCTACCAACCTACAATCATTAAATAAATACAAATATTGACAACCCCACAATGCCCAGAAACAAGACAATTTTAGGTCACAGGAAGACACAAAAATGGCTCAAACAAATGATGCAGAACCAGAAAACATTTCTGAAGAAGAAAAGGTAATGGAATTAACTGAAAAAGAATTCAAAAGAATGGTATCAGGTACCTTCAAAGGCTCAATAGAAAGATTGAGGAAAGCAAGGAGAATATAGAAAAAACGAGATAAATTTAGGAAAACACTACAAGAACAAACAAAAGAAATTAATGCAAATTTTAAAACAATACAAAATCTTCAATTAGAAATTCAGAAGATTAATAATAAGATCTCAGAAATGGACAATACATTGAAAAGGCAAAGGAGTAAATAAGAATCAATGGAAGCTTGAATTAGTGATCTTGAAGATAAACCTCTCAATACTAGTATGCTAGGACAATCAGAAAAAAGAATTGAAAATCCTAAGAAAGCCTAAGAGTTATGCGGGACACCGTGAAGAGGAACATCTTACGGGTGATCAGAATTTCAGAACAGGACGAGACGATTAAAAACATGTAAAAATTGTTGAAAGAAAACTTTCCGTAACATCATGAAAGATGAGAAGACAAACAATCAAGAAGCTGAACGAACCCAAAGATGG